TGGAAGAGCTTTGGAGGCGAGTAAAATTATAATGGGGTAATATTCCAAGCGAAATCATAGAAAACCTAGTTGAGAGCATACCCAGACGTATGAAAATCGCTATTAAAAGCAAAGGAGTATCCACAATCCTCTTGATATATACCTCCTAAAATCTCAAAAGAGAAAAGCTCAAAACTGAGTGAAGAGAGTTGCCTTGCGTTTTTGCTGGGAATCACTTGTTAATTTTTCTGTATACTAGGCTTTATATCTTAAATAATAAAGACAAATTGCTGAAAAGTTCAAAGCGATCCGCTTATTATTAAAAAAGTTGGTTTTAATCGCCAGTGTATTTATTAAATTATATAAGGCAAGTAAGAAAGTCTAACTTCGGGCGGAGCTGAACATAAAATACCCGGCGCAAGTATTAAATATATGCTTTTTCACCTTACCGAAAGCTACGGCTAGATGGTAAGACGGGGTGTATCAATTTTGAGTAAATTAGCGTCCTTAAATTTCGAAATATTGAAGTTTCAAGCATTTCTGAAATTTACCGTTATATGAAAAGGGGCCGTAATTTTAATCCGATTTCAATTTAACGTTTTGCTTTTATGTGGCAAGCACAATAACCATACCGAGTTTGGTACAAATTGGTAGAACGGTTACCGAGATACATATATGTGATCATAAGTGGGCGGTGCCACGCCCGTTTTCCAAAATTTTACCATAAACGTATTTCTTGGTTAAGAATTGTTGCAAGCATTAATTTTGAATAAATTAGCTTTAGTATTTTCTGATTTATCGAAGATTTTGTATTTCTATAAATTACCGTTATATGGGATGTGGGCGTGGTTATTGTCCGATTTTTTAAATTTTCGGCCATTTAGTATGCTGTACCAAGGCCAACAACTGTGCCAAGTTTGGAAGAAATTGGTGCAGCGGTTACCAAGATATACACATGTAGCCCACCATAAGTGGGCGTGGCTACGCCCATTTTCCAAAAATTTATACTATTCTTATTTTTCGTCTGAAAGTTATTGTAAATATCAATTTTGAGTGAATTATCTCCAGTAGTTACTAAAATATCGCAGTTTTCGTATTTCTGAAAATTACCGGTATATGGGATGTGGGCGTGGTTATTGTCCGATTTTTTAAATTTTGGGTCATTTAGTATGCTGTATCAAGGTCAACAACTGTGCAAAGTTTGGAATAAATTGGTGCAGCGGTTACCAAGATATACACATGTAGCCCACCATAAGTGGGCGTGGCTACGCCCATTTTCCAAAAATTTATACTATTCTTATTTTTCGTCTGAAAGTTATTGTAAATATCAATTTTGAGTGAATTATCTTCAGTAGTTACTAAAATATCGCAGTTTTCGTATTTCTGGAAATTACCGTTATATGGGAAGTGGGCGTGGTTAATGTCCGATTTCGCCCATTTTCAATACCAATCTACCTTGGATTAACGGAAACCTACACACCAAATTTCGTTGAGATATCTCAATTTTTGCTCGAGTTATCATGTACACGGACGGACGGACAGACGGACAGACGGACGGACAGACAGACATGGCTTAATCGACTTCTCTATTCATTCTGAGCATTTATGTATACATTTGTCTATATCTATCTCGATTCGTTTTGGCTGTTACAAACAACCGTTATGTGAACAAAATTAATATACCCTTGTGCACATGTGCGCTCGGGTATAAAAAGAAAGCCCTTAAATTAAGTAAATATTTGAATAAAATACAATAAATAAGTTTAACTGAACAAATGTTGCACATAATTTCTACTTCTGTATACAATTTGCATATGGGTCCAGCCAGACTCATGCGTACCGAATGTGCTAATGGAAACATGTGTCTGACGGAGAGTTAAAAATGAATTACAAAAACTAAAATCGAAAAGTGCTGATAAAGTTACAGGTTCTCCAGATACTGAAACAACATGACATATGTATCTGGTTTGGCTTGTAAGCGCTGTTTAAACAACGATCTCACCATTATGCTAGATTCTAATTGTTTTTTAAAAATACTTGATATCCGCGTTCGCATCCGCGGATGTTAGCCGTTAGATATTCGCATCCGCGGATGTCTAAAATTCCACATCCGCAACATCTCTAATACCTACAGTAGTAATTGCTATGAATTGCTACCATATAAATTCAGGACATGCATTTGCTTGGAGACGCACTCGCGACAAAAAAAGTAGAACCCAAGCGAGATTTCCAAGCAGGTGAAGATGGCCGTTAAGGTAAAATTTAATAAATTAACTTGTACTTACGGTCTTAGGTACGAAGAACTCATAATGTGTCTCACGGAATCTTGGCTCCCAGTCATTTACATCAATTACTTCCAATGTGATATCCGCGGTAATATTTGTCAAACCATCAGTAGCCATTACTTCGAACTCGTGCTTTGTAATTTTTTCATAATCCAGGGGTTTAACTAAAATTACTTCCCCTAATGAGCCCACACTGAAGAATTTCGAATTCACTGGATCCAGAATAGTATATTTCAAGTGCTTTCCTGGTTTATTTGAAGGCAAAGCTAAAATACGGTTTCCCACGGCCGTGTCCTCGCGTATGCGCATCAAAAATCTTTTCTGCACAAATGACAAACTGGTTATATCGGAATTCTTTCCAGTTCGAGTCAACATAACTGTTGTCAGTGCATAACGATCTGCATTGTCTATTTGTGTTGCCTTCACCACCAACGTGGCACCGTTGACAAGATCCCCGTAACCGATTGGCGTGAGCAAGCTAATAATGCCACTATTTGGATGGATTCGAAAGTTTTTAGTGTCCTGTGATTGAACGATTGAGTACTGCATAGGGGCGCATATGCCCTCGTCCTGATCGACTGCTTTTATTGATTCAGGGCGTAATCTTAATTCCGCTGGCCGGCCATCAGTTGGTAGCTCCCCTGAGTATGATTCATACTGAAATTTAGGATTTTGATCATCTGCATCTGTAATAACTACTCTCAATGTAGTGTCGGTATACTTAGGTGGACTGCCTTGATCTTGGGCTCTTAGTTTCACAGAAAAATTTTGCATAGTCTCGTAATCCAATGACTTTTTCAGTACTAGTGTACCTTCGAGTGGGCTTAGAAACTGCACAAATCCATAATATGGGCCTGGCAAAGTCTGGTATTCAACCATGGAAAACGGGCCCGGCTGATCAGCATCTTCGGCATGTGCACCTTGAAGTATCCTCGTACCAGGTACAGTGACTTCCGAGAGGGTGAGCGTATATGGTGCACCTATCCAGAGTGGGGCGTTATCGTTAACATCGATCACGCGTACGTTTATCGGAATAACGAAACTCTGCGAAGCGAAGCGAATACATATGGATATTAATGCAAAAGAACGCGAAATAAAAAGAACGTGAGAGAGATTTAAAATTAGTTAATAGTAAAAGAATTTAAGTTTTCTACGGAGTTATTTCCTTACATGCATACATTTCAAATATAAACGGAATCGTACTATACTATAAATACCGGTTTTGCAAATATCTCGACTTCGGTTCCACCTAGCGTATCAATTCATCTTTCATATTGCATTGTCATCGGGTTCGAAGCTAAGTTTGAAATTTTAAGTCTCCTTCTCATGGGAAAGTTGCTTAAAAAAATCGCCCAAAATCGCCAAATTTTTTTGTATGAATATAAAATTCATGAAATCGACTTAACAAATTTTTTTATTTTAACAATGATATCTTGAAATAGAATAGCTTTTAAAACCAAAAACGAATATAGTCCTTTCAGGGCAATAATCTTTACATATATGTATATATTATATTATATATAATAAAATTGTCACAGGCCGATGTCTGTACACTACAAACATTAAAGAAAAATTAATATGGGGTATCTTTTTTAGCCAATAGAGACCAAATGAACAATTTTTAGAATTTTTGTCTGTCTGTATGTTTGTACGCGTATGACTCGAAAACTAATGTACGTAATTTTCACTGATGTATTGCTAGAGTACGGTTGCCAGACGTACTGATTTCATCAGTACAGTACTGATTTTTCAACTCTTGTACTGATTTTATTTAATCTTCAATCAGTACGCTAATGACCTGATTTTTCAAAATTTGTACTGATTTGTACTGAATTTTCAATTCAAACAAAATACCTTAAGATTTTCTTAAGGTTTTTACATAACGTTGGAACTTCCTTAAACTGTACCGTAAAAGAAGAAAATCATTTAATTATAGTTGACATGTTTCAGATAATGTTTGATATGTCCAAGAAGTTAATACAACAAAAAGATCAATCGTTTTATGGGCATATCGCCGGGTCGTTACGTTCCAGTTGCGATAATATGATGGAGCTTAAATTATTTAAAAATATGTAATGCTGACGTTTTTTTGTCGAGTGTTGTTAGTTATCTCGAAATTAACTTTCAGTTTAATAACAACAAATTTGGATATAACTTACAATTCTTTTTTCACAATTTACTGACCTTGTAAAAGAGTTTTGCATATAAGACATACATAGAGTTCGATACACTTTTCAGCGAATTCTTAGTCTTTCAAAGTTTTTGCGTAGTTGGAAAATGAATTTAAGCCATGAGGAAATATAGATTAAGTCTTTAAATAGTGGTACTTTTCCACAGTTTGAAATATGCTTTTTTTTTTGTAATACCACACTCAACGAATCATCTGAGAGTATAAAGTTTGCTTCCTGGCGCAAAGAGAGAAACCTGCTTCCAATTAATATTTTTTATAGTGAACTTCAAATTAAAAGTAATTTTAAAATGAAATGTATAGAATTCTTTGACTACTTAAACACTAAAGATGGAAGTGATCTCATTATGACTATTCGAATATGTCACAAATATAAAATAATTTATTGGCTTCTGTGTACAATGATGTGTACACTCAAGTGAATAACACTTTTATT